TCTGCCCCTTGCCAAAGGACAAAAACAAAACAGAATTTCCACAGTAGTCTTTTATAGTGTCATCCAGCCATAGCTACGGCAATATATCACTAATGCGAACAGGTTTTTTATTACTACATGGTTGGTGATAATACTGTATCATTATCACATGATGGTTTGGTGGTGTTATAAATTCCCACATTGAACTAAGCTGTACACTGTTAAAGAATTTGATGGTTCTCCTACTGACTGGTTATGTTGAAATGACTATTCTTTAGTACTTCATAGATTTATTTAGTTGTAAAAGGAGTTTACGACTAAAGCCTGTACAGTGCTGGTAGTTAGGTTGATGACTCTGTCATTTCTAGCAAATGCATTACATCTGTTCATGTATATTTTGTTACAAGACAGACAAATAGCAACAGCCCTCCCATCACATTGATGAACTGTATGCAATTGGCCCACACTCCCTCAGCTTTCAGCATCTTCACCAGCCCCACAGTTTTTTATTCACAACTTATTTTCCAAGGTATTTCATTTTTTTAAATAAAAAAAATAGAATGCACTCTTTGTTATTTTCTTGCAGACCTCATGGAGCTTTATGAGCCTCTTTTCCTCTGATAGTGCAAATTCCAAAACTGAATCTTTCAAACTATTCTGAAATCTGACAATTTCTAAAATGAAAACTGATATTGCTGGTATTGCTTAACCAGATTTAAAAGTTCTAATGCTATGCTCAGTCAAAAAGTTAAGCATTCATGTTACAAAAGCTCTCTCCAAGCGGAATGCATGATATTCAGACTTGAAACGTAGGACTCTTTTATATAACCAAACTTCTGCTTTGCCACTGGTCCCCCCTCCCCCCAAGTATGAATGGAATTAATATTATAATATGTAATACCTAAGTACAGGAAGTTAGCATTTTCACAGATAACTTGACAAGGATATTAAGACTTCTTGCTTTATTTAAAAAAAGTAGCAGCAGCAGAACAGAGAAGGAACATCTGGTACCAATGTCATACATATCCCCAGTTCGCCCTGCATACAAAGGAAACAAGAGGAAAACAAGGGATGTGGAAGCAGAATAGAAGACTAATGTATTACATTTTTCCCTCTATTGTGCAAACTACTTAGAATTTAGCTATAGTCAGATATTGGACAAGGACAAAATATTTGGCAACTTCCATTAAAAAAAATGACATTAAACAGGAGAGCACATCAGGAAAGAGCCCTTTCCCTTGATTCTCTAACTTAATTGTATTAGTGGCAGCATCTACAACGTTGTCCATTTCTGAAACCTAGTTACACAGTCACGAATTCTATCTTTAAACTGATGTGACCTAGTTACTCAATCATTTGCTTGGTTTGATCAATAACTTGACCTCAAACCTTACCAAATAGCTTGGGTTCACATTGTACTGAGTAGTATGAATCCTGACTCTAAGTCTCTGGAGAAATCCCAATCAATGTACACATTTAATTGTTCTTTCTGTTATAGAAAAGATCTGAATGGGGGTGGTTTCATTTGCTTTCAGTTCTAGGCCTCTGTTAGAAGGCCTACTCATTACATGACTCTGGAGTTCTGGGAGTTCTGGGAGTTGAAGTCCACTCATCTTAAAGTGGCCAAGTTTGGACAACACTGCTC